TAAATAATTGCTAGACATTTTTATATGAACTATTCGTGAAATATCGATCAAAATAAAGAGTGATTGTATCAAAATCAAACGCCAATCGTGATAAAATTGAAGATTAATTTCATTCACTTTACGAAACAATGGATGGTGTACCATGGTGCACTGAAAATATTCAAATATAAAAATACTCATTGTCTGTTTTTTGTATACATTATGATATTCGTAGCTTGTGCTTTCGATTTACGTAAAACTTTTAAGAAGGAGATAAATTGAAAATTCTGTCAATATAGTCTGCAAGAGACTAACGAAAAAAGACACAATTATTAGTCTCATTGTATTTTTCTATTTCTATTTAAATGTTGACCTTTTATTTGACTAACATAACTTTACTTGAATATCATCAGCTGTTGATTTGTTCAAAGTCAAATTCACTGATTCGATATTATCCATTAGTAATAAAATCGTTGTTTATCATCGTAGAATAAGTGGATAATAATCTTTTTGGCAATTACGACGTGTACCATATAGAAGATCTGCATATTGGTATTGAATAGAGAGAAATAATATTTGGCTCTAGCATACTATGTTTGTATTCACAAGCAACAAACCATTTTTTGTGTTCAAACCAAAAGAATGTTTGAAATGAAGCAATAATTAATTTGAGATCTGTTGGAGTTTCGTGGGTTGATTTTTATTCATCGAAATAAAATTCAAATTTGTCTAGTTCATGTAAATTTATTGAAATAGATTGATTCCATCGTTTACCATCCAACATTTTTCCTATACCAATCAATTGTAAATAAACAAATGATGGTGTCAATAAGAGAAATAATTCAAGTTCTTATATTATTAATCATCCCTTTTGAAATTTCACTCATAATGAATGCATGTAAATGAGGAGAACATTGAAGTATTGTACAAAGGTCATCTATATTTATGCGATTATTTGTAGTCAAATACTCAGTTATACAATTGATTGCTCATGAAATCTTTGGTATTCTATCACACATCAAGCGTTCCAATTTGTGAAGAGTTGTTTGTGTAGTAATTGATGAGAGAAGAGCTGTAGTTGTTTCTATGAGTCTATGATCATATTTTCTAATACTGAATAAGAATAGACTGAGAAAATTAATTAAGATTGATTCTTTTCAAAATGAAGAGTAATTCCGATTCATCAATATCAAAAAGAGTTAATGAGCGAAGTCGAGTAAATTGTCGAAGATGAACAAATGATATAAATAAATCTATTGAATGTGATATTCGTTCATTATTCGAAAGTGTTAATGAAATGACATTTTGAGCATGAATTAATCAACAACAAAAATATAAAAACTTGATTTTGAAATTAAATTCAAATTTAGAACATATCGATTATAAGTATTAACAATTGATTGAAATAATCTCGATACATGTCGAATTTGAGTATAAGATTGTTTGTGCATCAAGATTACCGAAAATGTGATGAAATATTTTCACTGATAATGTTTCAATCGATGAAACTATAGTATTTGACATTGAAGCGATGGTAATATTCTATGTTGGAAAATTTTTAATACATTTTTCACACAATGATACGAATAATTGTAGGTATTTGTCATAGCAGAGCATTTTTGCCGGTCATGCAAATAGAAGTGTACGTCGACGAGTTGATCGACGGCGGATGGAAGTTTTCGATGACTCATTTTAAAGCTATCTTGATTTCGAGAGATTTTCAAATCAAAAAGATAGAAAACGATGCTAGAGAACTGAATGATAGAAAACTAGGTAACTCATGTAAAAAAAGAAGAGAAAAAATATGATTTTAATCAGATTATTCAAATTCTAATTGATTTTAATCACGATGGTCATAAATCATACTTTTTTCAAGTTTTTATTTAGAAATTCAAATTTTTGAATAGTTTCTCGAAATTCTTGACTCAACAAATGATAAGTACAGCACTAGATCGACCTTTGACAGACATGCCACACTTCGAAATACTATACCAATTGATATTTACTGATGTAAGAAAAAATGCCAATAAAATAGGTTAACATCGATCGTCTTAAGATTAAGCCGGTTAAAAACTAATTTTTAACTTTTAACATAAATTTCATATTACTTTAATCAATTTTTAGTCACAAGAAATCGGTTAAAAGCAGATTATTTTGCTATTGTACATGTGAAGAACATCTGCGAAAATTGATTCTGAGTGTCGAAAATCGAGTATCTATTTTCGATTTATGGTGACGGCAACTCAGCCGATCGCCTTACACCTCTAGACGCAAACTAAAAAGAGGACGGGAAAAATCTATTACATTTTCTTTGTCGTGTTAGAAAAAATTGAAGAAGAAAAATCTGAATAATCGGATCGAGTCAGCTGCGGTATCGCCCCTTTTTCCATAAAATCTTTTTGTGAAATACTTATTTTAACTTTGCTGACAAAGGAGATTTGCTGAATATAAATAAATAGTTACTTCAGCCAATGAGTAGCTTTTGAAGTTCCTTGATAAAAACGTAAGTAACCGCTCGTACTAATGTTTGTTTTCTGAAGATAACATCGATTGAGTAAACTAATTTGAATTTTAGATCACTCTTACAAAATGATATCCAGGTTAAACTAGGGTGTGGGTAAAGAGAAGACCGACACACACATTCACACCTACCCTAGGTACCCTCTAATAGCCCCTTAAAAAAGTTACCGTAGGTAGCCTCAGGTACCTCTTTGAAATCAGTGTGGGAGATTTTTATATAAAAGTGAAAATATCGTAGGTACGACTCCTTACTTGGATATTTATTAGTTAGTGCTAAATAGTTTAGTATTAATTAGGTGAGTACTCATTAATTGAACACTAATTAACCCATTAGTAATTAATTAATTATTAACAACTCAGACAATATATAATTCTAACAACCTATGTTCACATTTGGAAGGATCTGTCTCTGCTAAGTAATAAAACATAGACTTCAAATGATTGGTCAAATATGAATGCATAAGTGAGCTCGAAATTTTGAGTTTTCGTGTCGAGCTCACTTTTTTTTGACCGTTTTTTGTTATTCTAAGGGATACAAGAAAGACTGAATATTAGCCTACGTTTTGAAAATGTTCACGACTAAGTCTATCCCAACTTCATATTCTGATTACTCCTTTACAGATAATATAGCGATGATTCGGCCTCTATAAACATCCCACCACGATGTACATTTTTTTTCTACATGTCTCACTTTATTTTTGGTTCTCTAATAAGCACCATCATGCTGTTTTTCTGTCTTGCTTCGATTCTAGTTCAGCATCATGATGGTAAGCATAATTTCTTAGGGAAAATTGTTTGTCTTCATTAGTGGACTCATTTTTCCTTTTGATTACACAGTAGGAGCATGGTTCAAACAGACGATCGTGACGTACCATCAGAATAGATCTTTTTGCTTATATCAGATATTGGTAATTGCCCTTTCGCTATTGTATTGACGACAGTGCTATTAATATTTCTGCTCATAGAAAAGAAAGTGTTTGTGGGTCAGTAGAAAAGCGACGCCGACATCTATACTCATGGATACCACATCAACATTCATTCACATTTATGACCATCACACTCCATAAAATCGAGAACAACAAGAGAAGTAATGTGACAACGTCGATTTAAAGTGAAGACACAGTTCACATCGATACCTCACAAACAAAAGAGAAAAAGTACTTGCAATCAACAGTTTTTTCAAGTTGTGATTTTTGTCAGTATCTCTTGTGAAGAGATTCTACACTATGCACCAGAGATGGGCAAGTCAAGTTAAAAATGACTTAAGTCAAAGTCAAGTCAAGTCATTTTTGACTTGGATGACTTGACTTAAAAATTTTTTAGATGACTTGCGACTTGACTTGACTCGACTTGTAAATTTTTTTCGGTGACTCATGACTTGACTTGACTTGACTTGACTTTGGCTTTTAATTTTTTGACTTGACTGGACTTATGACTTGATGAAAAAAACAAGTCAAGTCAGATATTTTTCGCAGCTTATATACATGCTACATTCGCATTATGTAATAGTGATTGTTCAACAACAACACGTGAAGTTAATGTTACTGATGATGNATGTAATGTTCTCTTCCGTTGCTATGGTCTATATAGGGGTGCAACAAATCTTGAATGGATTTTGGATTTGTCACCAACTCTTTGAGGTTTGGACTTGGATTTGGTTTCTGGATTTGGGGTATGGTTCGAATTTAGTTCCTAGATGTGGATTTCGTCTAGATTTGGATCACAGGATTGTTGATATTGCTTTGTTCGGCTTAGATTTGGGATTCGGGATTGATAACATGTTTGGGATTTGATTTTGACTTGGATTTGACTTTGGGTCTTAGATTTGGATTTTGACTTAGGATTTGTTTTCAATCTAACATGACTCCAACTTTGCAGTCGTGCTACACTGGAACCAAATCTCCATCCCAAATTCAAATCTCAAACCCAAATTCCAACCAGAATGATACAGACCAAATCCCAAATCCAAATTCCAAACCCAAATCTATACCAAATCTAAACAATTTGATATGAATTTATAAGACTTGAGATTCTTTTCTTCCTTGTGGGAATTTATTTTACAAAGTGTCATCAGATTTGGGTAATTTAAGACCAAACCCAAATCCAAATCCAAATCTGAGTCGGGAAAAAATCCAAATCTATTTTCACCAAATCCCAAGGCCTTGGATTTGTTGCACCCCTAGGTCTTTAATGGGAACCTGTCTGTAAGGGGAGGGGGGGCCGCGAAAACTTGACCTTAAAAAGTTACACTCACTATTTTCTTCGAAAATATATGTGAGTTCCACAAAATGCTAAATGTATTGATACAACATCACCACTAAATTATAATGAAGAAACAGATATATTATTAAAAGAAGACAATTTCCGATGATGAAGATTTAGAAGTTGAATTTGTTGATGAAAAAGCACAATTTTTCTAAGGTTATGGAAAACAAAGTTTACAAGATTTAAGTCCAGTTTAACTTGTTAAATATTCTGGTGGTTCATTACAACAAACAGCTATGATACAAAATGCTTTATTGAAAGAACGTCGTGAAACATTTCGTTCTAATGAAACGAATTCTGATAGTTTATCATCAAGTTCATTAACATCAGTTCAAAGCATTACAAAAACTTCAGCAAATGTTTTCGAATGGAAGATATCCGTAATGAATAGTAAAATAAGATTTGGTCAACGAACAACCATAGGTATCATGGAATAGAAAATCTTTGAACTTATAAAGAAAATTTGCAATTGTTAACTGACTTTTGAGCTGAAGAATCACTAGGTTATCATTTATCGATTATGCTGATTTCGATAATTTATAGTTCAATAATTTCTAGCTCAAAAAGAGATGTTACAATTAGAAGGATTGTCTTCATAGATTTCTAATTATCTTTTCTGTTGTAAAATCACAACCAGACAATATTATTTAATACCAAAAAGAAAGCCAATGATAATCAAGTGATAAGTTGAAAATTGAACTGTATGACTTTCTTTATTCTTAGTATCATGTAATTTTTTTACGTCAAATTCTCTAATAAATAGTGAACTGTAACCAGTTCGATAATGATTATGTCTCACATAACTGTACTGACAAACAAGTATCTTTCACAAGCCTATAAAATATACGATAGTTTCATTTGCGAGATATCTGATCTTTTATTGATGATTTCATTCCCTTGAGAATAATGTTTCTGATATTGATTTGGAATTGAATAAAGGTCACAAATTTATAAGTGGTATCATTTAGACATAAACACATCTTGATAAATTCTATAGTTTATTTTAAACTAAATTATTACATCAGCTACACTTGATGCCGTAAAATTTTCTGAATATTTCTTCAAAGCAGAAAGTTATAGAAACTTCTTTTTTAAATTTAAATATATTCATTTCTTTCCTATAGTAAATTTTTACTATTCCAGCTCGAATACTTCCTGCTGAAATATTTTATACAAAAGAATCTGAAATTGATTATCTTGATGCATCACTTATTACTGTAATGTAAATTCATTGAACTGAACCATCTGGCATGCATCGTTAATAAAGAAAAAAAAGTTTGTTTCTTGCTTTTATTGCTTAGGTGATACATTGGTATTTTTAATGGATCAAGAAGAAATTGATACAGCATGTAAAATTTTATTTGAATGAATGAAAAAATTAGGTCCAAAAGTTCCAGAATTAATTATTTTACCAGTTTATTCAACATTACCTAATGAAATGCAAACAAAAATTTTCGATCCAGCATCATCCGATTCACGAAAAGTATGTTGTTTCTATTATGTTGTTGATCCAGAATTTGTTGAACAAAAAGTATACAATCCTAAATCAGGCATTGATAGTCTTGTTGTCACACCAATTAGTCAAGTGCGCTATATTTTTTTAAAATAAGGAAAAGAATCCAAAGAAATTTTATTTAGGCTCACGCAAAAGAACGTACGGCTCGTGCTGGCTGAACCGGTCCAGGAGAGGCTTATCATTTATATACAGAACGAGCATATCGCGATGAAATACTTTGAAATAATATACCTGAAATGTAACGAACAAATTTAGCTAGTACAGTTTTAAGTTTAAAAGCTACGGGTATCAATGATGTATTACCATTTGTTTTTATGGATCCACCACCATTATGAAACAATGATGATGACTATAGGACAATTACATGCATTAACTGCATTAGATGATGAAAGTCTTTTAACTAAACTTGGTCCTCATATGACTTAATTTCCACTTGAACCTCAATTACCGAGAATTTTAATTATGTCTATTGAATTAAATTGTGCTGAAGAAGCATGAACTATTGTTTCAATGTTTTCTATTCAGAATGTTTTCCATCGTCCTAAAGTATGTTTTTGTTTTTGTTTTTTCTCATCATCTATTTTTTCATATAGGGAAAAGTAGAACAAGCTGAAGGTAGTCATTTAACATTACTTGCTGTTTATAATACATGAGAACAAAATAAATTTTCAAGTTTATGGAGTTCTGAAAATTTTGTACAACAACGCTCATTGCATCGTGCACAAGATATTCGAAAACGAATGTTAAGAATTATGAATCGGTAAGTTTTTTTTAAATAAATATAAGAAGACAAATTATAACTTCTTTATTTGTGTGTTTTTTTTAGACATAAACTCGATATTTCATCATGAGGAAAAAAACTGAACTTGTTCCAAAAGCAACTTGTTCCGGTTTCTTTCGAAATGCAGCTAAACGTGATACTCCAGAAGGTATAAACTCAATAAAAAGAGAAAAAACATTGAGAATTCTATTAAGAAATATATTTTTGGGCTATTGAACATTAGTTGATAATCAAGTTGTTTATATTCATCCATCAAGTTCGATTTATCATCAACAACCAGAATGGTATGCATAATATATATATATATGATTTAGACTTTGTTATCATGAACTTGCATTTACAACAAAAGAATATATGCGTGAAGCTTGTGTTATTGATTCAAAATGGCTTGTTGAATGTGCACCAAAATTTTTCAAAAAGTTGGAGATTCAACAAGATGAAAAAAGAACAAAGAGTCGAATCATTACACAAAAAATAGGAGGAATCGAATTCATGGCGGATATCACGTCTTTATCGTCCTTATTACAATCTGGCAGGAAAGTTTGATTAAAAAAAAAACGTTTTTTTTCCTTTCTCTTGTTCTTCATTTGTGTTTTGTATGTGGAATATTCTATGTATTTGTTTGTACATGGTAACAACAAAATAAGACGTTATTCTTTCCATTAAAATCCTTAGTTCTTTATGTGGCTCCTTCTCAAAATAGTTACAATCTTTCTATAGACAAAAGCTATCGAAAGATACTTTAATAGCTATTACATTTTATACATCATCTCAAGATTTGAAAGACACTCATTACTTAGTATAGTTAGTTAATCCATCCAATAAATGATGAGTAACTTCGATAGATTTGGATATTGCATATGCAAATGTCTTAGTGACAATTGATGAAATCTTTGTTTTGTTGCTTTATAGAAAAGATATGTTACGACACGTGACGACATGTGCAAATAAAAGACAAGAAAACGACTTACTAATATAAAATACAACGAAAACTGGAAGAGTTGCCTCTTCGAAGTAGAATTTCTCAACGAATAACTCATTGAAATTGAAACCGTTTGTATCTCAAGGGTATGGATGTGAGTTTTCTCTCCATCTTCACCCATATCCACACCTTCCTATAATTATCAAGCGAGCAATGGGTTATTTTAACGCAGTAAAATGTGCCCTTTTTTAACAGTAACAAATCGATGAAAAAAATGAATTTTATTTGCATAAAAGACACCTTTATGGATGTTATCGTTGTTAGGCTCACTTTCTTCGTTAAAAAAATGTTTTTGTTTGTTGAAAATGTCAAAACTCTACGTGTCAACGAGTAAAAGTGTTTTTCTTTCCTTCCGTTCTGTCTTACTCGACTTTTTTTTCTTTTCATCAATAAATTTTACATGTCACATATAAAAAACACGAAGAGAGAAATAGATTCATTTGCTGCTATTTACCTGAAGACGGTACATCGTTGTGCAAATTCAACGTAAGTCATTTAATGACATGAATGCAGGCTGAAATTTATTTCACCTTTTGAAAATATCTGTGCCTCGACACATACTTCTATAGTCAAAGATTTTGTTGAAGGATGTCGAAATTTATGAGTTAGAATAATGGAGAGTTTAAGGTCTGTTTATTTGTTTATTTATAGTTCTTCTATTTGATTTAGAGTATGATCTAGTTTACTATTGAACACGAATCGGCAAATATATTGATTCAAAACTTTGTTGAAGTGTGCAATAGAAATTGTTAATTTGTGTAGTGTGGATGTAGTTGCGAGTCTGAGTGTGTGTTGCTCCTGCGACAACCACAGTCGTACTACACATCCCACACCCTCATGGAAATAAATATAGTAAAGATTAAAATAATGTCTATGTTTTCAGAAAAATTCAATACTAAATCTCATAAATCTGACATTTCTAAAATGTATAATAGTTGATCTATTTGACTGTAAAACTCATCATAAGAATGATTATTAACACAGTAGTAAAGTTTTGAAGACATATTTCAGATGTATTTTTTGAAGTTGTGTTATAAATTCTACGATATCAGTTATGATTTCTTTTTCAAAGAATTTTAAGCTCTTATAAATCGCATCAGGAAAGCTCTGAATCAAATATGAACAGATTATGGAACATAATATACTGAAATCTTTCATGTTGTAGTAACTTCAGCAAGAGCAACCAATCAATCTTGGCATTTATTAAATTTTCTTTTATCGTATATATATTGTAAAATTTTTTGATGAATCATGTTTCCTTAACTACAAAGCTAGAAGAATAGAAAGTAAAATATCTGTTTCTTTTGAAGATGAAAATTACAGAGAATAGAAATAGTAAATGTTTTTCTTAATTATGCATAGGATTAATCATGACAAATGATTATCATCAAATATACAATGATCGTGGAAGTTACACTCCTTGTTTTGAAAAGAAACTGATCGAAGAAAAACGTGAAGATGGATATTGGATTGAGGCATTTCAAATTGATAATCAAAGTTCTATTGGTTTAGTGGCTTATGGATTGGGTCAAGGACAAGTTAATTTTTATCCAAATCCGTGCACAACTGTTGAACTAGGAAAAGCAATTCCTATTCAAAAGTTAGCAGGTCCTGTAGCCATGGACCAAGCTGATATTACAGGCAATGGACTTAATGACATTATCATTTGTTATCAATATGGTAATACTATGAAAGATTGTGATCCTGAAGGTGGAAAGATTGTATGGTTGGAAAATTCAGAACAGAAAAATGATCGAAACCTATGGACGTCACATTATATTGGAAAATCTATAGCGATGCACAGACTTAAAGTTGGTCATTTCACACAAACTGAACGTTGGGAGATTATAGGCCTTCCTATTGTAGGCAAACCCTTTGACTTACTCTCACCAGTACCGGTGCTATTATTTCGTCAGCCTGATGATGCATTAAATGCTGAAGAATGGCCTTGTGAAATAATTAATGAACAATTTTTTCATCTAATTCACGATGCCAAAAAATGTAATGCTAATAAATTAGATAATCTTCTTATTGCATCAAGGGAAGGTATTAATTGGCTTTACTTTAATGAAAAAAATCAAAAGTGGGCAATTGAAAATATTGGAGAAGGTGAACAAGGAGAAAAACAGCAGACACCTTATTATGGTAGTGGATGCGTGGATGCAGGAAAAGTTGGAAATGATTCTTTGGCTTATATTGCTACTGTCGAACCTTTTCATGGAAACGTAGTTGCCGTCTATGTCAAAGACACTAAAAATAGTTTGAAGAATATTCAATGGAAAAGATATGTGCTAGATGTTTATGGATATCCTAATGTACATGGCGAAGGTCCAGCTCATCATGTCGTTTGTGCTGACTTTGATAAAGATGGAGATGACGAATTCTTAGTTGCACTTCGAGGACCATCACCGAATCAAGGTGTCTACTATTATAAACCTATTGATCTCTCTCGTGGTTTATTTGCCAAATGGAAAGTAAGCGAAGACTCAGCAGCAAGAATCGCTATTGCAGATTTCAATAATAATGGCCTTCTTGATTTTGCAACTATTGGCTATTATGTTCCTGGCTATTATACAGCTGAAAATCCTTCTATTAGTATTTATTACAATCGATTTGCTAACAAAAACGCACAAGGTACCAAGGAGATACAAGTTACAAAGCAAAATAATGAACTTCTGTTCAAAGTTCCAAGACCAAACAAAGCATTACAATACGAAATGATGCCATTTATGACAGTAGGATATATAAATTTATCTTTAGAAGTGATACCACCTAATAGTTTGCGTCAAATCGACAAAAATACTTATATCAAAGTTCTTTCTGGAATTATAATGTGGACGAGTTCTTCTACAGAATTATCTAAAACTGTAAATCATTCGCGTACATTTGTCTGTGAACCAAAAACTGTTTCGTCTCTTGCCATTTGTAGTAATGAGAATGTAATAACAACTGGAAATGAAGGGGCACTTTTAATTGTATTAAAAATAAACGAAACTATGGACACTATTCCTCGATTCGATTCTATTGAAAAAGTTACTATTGAGAATGTCTTACCAGAGTTCTGTTCTGAAGAAGTTCGTAAACTTAGTTTTCAATTTATTAGATGTGATAAATATGATTGGGGAAAGGAGAAATTCAAAGGTCATGAATTCTATGATATGAAAGGCTTTGATATTAAGTTTGCTGATAATGATGAACATCTTTGCTATATTCAACTATGGGCTGCCGAACAAGGTACAAACTGTGTAGTACACAACCATTCTGACGCTTTCTTTTGTGAAGTTAATGCTTGTATTTTCAATGGTACTGGAAAAGGTGGCATGCAGTATCTTATAAGCTCCAAAGAAAACTATGATCCACTCACTACGCTGGAGTCGCAATTCCAGAAGTTAGAAGTACCTTCTCTTTATGAACATGGCCCTTTATGGGATATTGATGAACAAAAAAAACCAGTTTTACGGAAAGATGGTACTGTTGTATATCCTTGGCACAAATGGCAATCTAACACCGATGACTCATCTGTTAAATCATTTGATATATGGATGGCTTTTCAATTCAATGCTCATTTATCAGCAATACCTTGAAAGGACGAAAGCAAACTTCTAGCTTACACATGCACAATAAATTAACTGACTCTTCATTGAAAAAACGTTTGTTAGCGCAGCTCCTGCGGAGCTGAAATGTGGAACTCACGTATATACTTCAGCTTCATTATATTAATATGCAATATAGATAGTATAAAATCACGAATTTTTTAATTTTCCAACAGGCGCCCTTATTTTTCGTCTTCTTTGCTGCTATTCGCTCAGTATTTTTCATTTTTAACATTGTTTTTTTCTTTAATTTTACATTTTTATTACAAGAAGCATTGAATTATATGGCGAATGAAA